TAAGTCTGTGCGAACGTGAGTGGCTCTTGACATTGAAAATTGTCAAAAATTTTAACTGAAATTTGTCGCACGTAAACCGCAATAGTTATCAAAATTAATTAAATAACTTTAGATGCCCCACTTCTCTAGATGATGTACGGTGATTTTCCGCCCTGTGGGTGAAGCGCCTTCAGCAAAAATGCTGAGTCAGCATTTAGAACATTTCAATCCAAGATGGCCGCATTCTGGTTTGTCAGATGTTATAGCGGCTATACGATACTGTGTTTCCTGGTAGCCGCAGAGAGGTAAAATTGGGTTTGGTAAAAGTTATGACGCGCTGAATGCGATGTAAAACAGATGAGGCTAGATCCAGAGTGCGTTTACGGTGGTTTAATATACAAAGCTGGGTTCACAGCGACAAGCGTACGTATATGGACCGAGAGCATGAATATTGTAAAAATGAATACTGCTTTGAAAATGTAAAACCAGAAACAAAGCAATAGCGGTCAACAAAAATTACGGCTACCCAACAGACCTCTCTCCTCCTACCTGGCCCCGGTGAGTATGCGCCATTTATACTTTCCACACACACACACACACACACACCCCACGCTCATGTGACCCCCACCTCCTCTCAGGGACCAGACACACACGCGCAAGCACACTGTGCCCAAGTGTCTCCTATAGGGGTCGTGGCCATAATAATATATTTTGTTTGTCTTCATATGACGAATGTGTGGACTGAATTTTGTGGCTCTAAGACATGCCCAAAATACGGAGTTTTCCAGGTGTTTTATCGAAATTTTCGGCTCTTCTGAATTTTGGGCAAAGTTTGGTGAGTTTTTGAACATGTTTAGGGGGTCAAATTAGAGCTCTAAGAACAAAAGAATAATGAAAAATTAAAATAAAATTATAATAATTTGAGCTAAAACAATATATACATAAACACTGGAACAGCATATTATACGTTTTTTGAAAGCTCTCGACCTTCCCCACGTCACCGTGGGGTCACTGAATGACGGGCACTGACGCGCTCATCATTCACCATTTCGGTGGGGTCGCCCATGACCTCCCATTGACTTCCATTCATTTTAGCAGTAGTAAATATGGCCCAGGCCTTGGGTGTGGATTACTGGGATACTGCTGTTCGTGCCGAGAGCGACCGAGAGGACGAAGCATATGGCGTATTGGAGGAGGCGCAGTGGTGTGGTTAAGTCCTGGCTAAATCCTGTTTTAGTCCTGGTTTTAGACTTGGTTAGTCCTGGTTTAGTCCTGGTTTAGAACTGGTTTAGTGCTGGTTTTAGTTCTGGTTTAGACCTGATTTAGACCTGGTTTAGAACTGTTTTAGTCCTGGTTTTAGGGGTCTGCGTGGTGCACAGGAGGAGGGGACGGTCCACAAGGCATACGGGAGGGAGGGTTTGCGCTTTTGCGACCCAGTACCAAACAACGGCCCGGTACTGGTTCCCGGCCCGGGGTTTGAAGACCCCTGCTTTAGTTTTATTATTGCTGCTGTTGTTGTAATATTTTTGACATTATTATTCTTTACAATCCATCACTGTTATGAGGATGAGATGACAAAAACATAACATTTATTTTTTGTAGTATTGATAAAGTACAGTATATAGTATATATTGAATAGAAATGACTCGTAGGCATTCTAATGCCTAATATGAACAGGCAAAGTTGGAAATCAATCTGTAATCTCTACTTGAGGCATTCTATAGAATGGCAAAGTTGAGAATAATGATTAATTTCCTACTTTACCTGGTTCTTTCTGCTTCAGATTCAGTTTTGTCTGTAACATATAAACAGCTGCAGGTGATGTGCAGTATTGTAGTGATAAACATATAGATACATAAACCTCATGGTGACCATAGGGATGGGATATTATTACACAAATACTTGGGTCCAGAAAGGACCTGGGACAACACATACAAGTACATACAAAAACAAACATAAAACACTATATAGAGCACTACAAAACCCTACAGTTCTAAGTTCATTACACCTGTGTAGAAAAGGAAATAAATAATAACATCAAAACAAAAAAAACATCTATGTCAAAGACAAAACATCTTTAGTAATAAGAGATCTGTATGTCCTGACAGTTTTGTTTTGTATTTGCAGATGTTCCACGGAAGCGGAGAAATAGTTTCCCATTTTTACGACCTACCAGTAAGTAAATAAAAAATATACAACTGAATCTTCTACTTGTAAATAACCAAAGTGTATATTTTTCCTTTCACTAAAACCAGTCATTGCATTTTATTTGATATGTGGATTTTTTTCAGTGATTTAATTTCTACTTCCTGTTTAGCACACTTTTATTTTGAAGAGCTACTTCATGTTTAGCACACTTTTATTTTGTATTTTGTCAAACTACTTCATTACACTCCCTATTGTTAAAACGCCGTTATCGTTATTGGGAAAGCAAAGTGGCACGTTACAGTTAGGTTGAATGAGGTGGCACAGTGTCAGGCGGGGAGAGCTCCAGACAGAGTAGGGCCAAGATGGTTGGCTGAGAAGTTGAGCGGGTGGAGTCTTTGCTCGCGCTGCCTTGTTGTTTCTTTCCCGCACACTTCAGGCTAAATGACACAAACTCAAAGAGAATACGACAGGGACAGTGATGAGCCACGGACATTCAAAGGCAGTTTTCAAACTGGAAATACCAACACTATTTCTCCCTCATTGAAATAAAGAGCAAGAGTGTGTATGTTAAGTGTAACTGTGCCCTGGGAAAAAATCCGTTCATGTTTGCCTCAAGTCATTTCAATCTAATGAAGCTCCTCACATCGTCACATAACACACCTCTCTGCTGTTCAGCCCGAGCCCCGGTGCAGCCGAGATGGAGACGGAGCCTCTCCATTAAGGCCAAACTCGGATTTTTTTGGGCAATAGTACATGAAAAGTAACTGGATAATTATTTTGCTAAGTAATTAATTATTTTTACAGCATGGGAACTGAGTTACTAACTCAGTTACTTTATGGGAGAAGTAATTTGTAATGGTAACTAATTACGTTTTTAAAGTAAAATGCCCAACACTGGTGGTGAAGAGGGAGCAGAGCCGAAAGGCAAACCTCTTGAATTACGGCTCAATCTACGTTTCTACCCTCACCTATGTGGTGAGGTGAGGCCATCTCCTGTGCCTCACTGTGACAAATGTCTCCAGCTCACAGCCGATCACGTGACCAGCTTTTCTGATCAGTTTGTCAACCTGTCCAATGTCCCTTTTACTGATGCCGCTCCTCCAGCAGACCACAGCGTGCTGGCCACCACAGACTGGTAGAAGATCTCCAATAACTTGCTGCACACATTGAAAGACCTGAGCTTTCATGAGTCTACTCATGCCCTTCTTGTGCACAGAATTTAAATTGTTCTTCCAGTCCAGCCTGTTGTTCACATGGATGCCAAGGTACTTGTAGCAGTCCACTATTTCCACCTCATGGCCCTGGATGGTGATGGGCTCCACTAGTGTCCTCTTCCTCCTGAAGTCAATCACCAGTTCCTTGGTCTTGTCAACGTTCAGGAGCAGACAAATTGCCTGGGAGTGATCAGAGAACTTCTGCAGGTGGCAGGAGTTGGAGCTGTACTGAAAATCAGAAGTGTACAGAGTGAACAGAAACGGAGACAGGACTGTACCCTGGGGGCCTCCTACATTACTGACCATGATATGAGACAGGTTGCTCCTGTTGCACGTACTGAGACTTGCCTGACAGGTAGTCAGTAATCCAGAAGACAATGGAGAGCTGACACCCATCCTGAGCAGCATCTCACTCATCAGAAAGGACTGGATTGTGAGATATTTGAACTCTTCCACTTGAGGCAGGGAGTCTCCACCCACCTGCAGAGAGCAAGCCACCATTTTCTGGTCGATGAGAACCATGACCTCGGATTTGGAGGAGCTGATCTTCAGCCCAGCCACTTCACAGTCAGCTGCAAACCGCCCCAATGAAGCCAACAAGACATCATCGACATCATCTGTGAACAGCAGAGATGAGATCCTGTGGTCCCCAAACCGGACCCCCTCCGGCACATGACTACGCCTAGAAATTCTGTCCATAAATACAATGAACAGAGCCAGTGACAAAGGGCAGCCCTGGTGGCAAAGAGCGTGTTTGTAATATCTAATACACCTCAACAATAGCATTAGCATTAGCATTGAGAACAAACCTCTTTTCTTAAGCACAGAAGTGTCCTCCTCTGAAATTATGAATTTAAGTATACACCTAGATTTTTGTTATGTATAAGCACATTTGTCATACTTTGTGCAACTAAAATTAATATTAATTAGATTTTGTTATTAAAAAAAAAAACAAAAAAAAACAAAACAAAACATGGTTAACTGATGTGTAATTAAATCTTTTGTTAGCTAACGTTATGGTTCATTTTGCTAAAGTGTAACAACATGGCATTTACCTACTGTATTTTTGTGTTTCCCCAGCTCTTACTGTTTGTGACGGAGCCAGTCCGTCTATGATTTTAGGTGGAGTTTCCCCTTCACATGACCGTGGCCTGCACTGACTTGTCCGCGCATTAGAGATGCGCGGATTGCTGTTACAACCGCGGTATCCGCGGTTAATCCGCGGGTCGGGCGGATGACGTGACGAAAAATTATATTTTTATTAAATTCGGGCGGGTGGCGGTTTAACTACTGAAAAAAAAAAAAAAAAAAAAAAGAAAAATTATTGTTAGTATTGTTACCTACATCTGAAAAGACGAGTGTCATTGTTTATGCTTGTAGTATGAAGTGTACGTCATATCCTTAATTAGCCCATTTGACCTCGTTTTTATGTTCTGAAGGTTAAGGTTGTGTCGGGTTATTGATGCCTAAGGTTTACGAGGCACATATTATATGCAGTTTATTTTATTATTTCTAATTTATTTCAGCTGTTTGCCAACACATAAGTGGCTATAGGGCCATATTTATTTAGTTATGCATTTTTTAGCTGCGCAAGAAAACCAGGTAAGTTTGGGGTTGTTACGGACAATTAACTGTGTCGGCGGCAAGGTGGGGCATTTGAGGGCCGTGCCCCCCCTAGCGGCCACTGGTGCCCCACCCCCCAACAGGCCGTTATTATTACTATTTTAAAATGATTTTGATTGGCGCATTTCACTTCGGGCCGAGGGCACAAACTTTACTGTGACATCAATGACGTCACAGTCTCTGTTTATTTAGTGTAATGTGATTGGACAACTGTCCTGTCACTCACGTCACGTCAACCTGCTGCGTCAACTCGTAGCAGCTCCACGATTAGCGGCAGCTGCTACTTTAGCCTAAAGCTCCACACAGGAAATGGCGAGAACAGAATCAAAGACACTGACAGACCCGCCGCCCGGACTCGGGGCAGTCGCCGCCGGGACCCGGGACTGTCGCCGCTGGGACCCGGGACTGTCGCCGCCGGGACCCGGGACAGTCGCCGCCCGGACTCTCGCTGCCGCCGCCGGGGCCGGGGCAGTCGCTCGCTGCTCTATCCGCCTTTGCCCGCTCGTTTCTGGGTGTAAAAGTTTGACCTGAGCATAGCGCGCAGAGGCATAATTCTACCTGGTGCTGATGTGGACTGACCGTAACTTTCAGACTGAAGTGGGAAGTGGGATTAAGACTCATTTTACAACCGCTCGTGCACTCTGCTCCTGGACCTCGCGTCACGGACCAGACTGGACCAGGATTTGGACCAGTTTCATCTCTTCATATTGGACAATAGACTTTTGGAAACAGAACCAGTGGGACAGTGGACAGAGGAAACACTCTGCTTCAGTCTCTGGAGAAGGTAAGAGGCTGGTTTTCATTAGTTTGCGGCAAATCTGAACTTGGAGCCTCACAGGTAAATAGTGTTATAGTGTTAAATAGTTTAATAGTGTTATAGTGTTAATAGTTAAATAGTGTTATAGTGTTAATAGTTAATAGTGCGTAAATGAGCTGGTGGGTGCGATGGAGCTGCTCTGGTTGTTCTGTCGTGTGTAGAAGCGGCATCTGTGTTCATGTCTCTTATTGTAGTTTTACTGACGTTGTTGGGTCTGGGTGTGAGCGGTGTGTTACGTTGTGTTGTTGCATAAAGTTTGCGCTTGGCTGTTCATTGTGCTCTGATCGATACTGTTCAGCCAATACTAACCAACCCTGTTTCTGGTATTTGTTATAATACTACAGCCTATATATATAATACATATATTATTCATAATATATATTTATAATTTTGCCCTTGGTGCCCCTCCCAAAAATTATACCATCAGCCGCCACTGGTCCTGGTTTAGTCCTGGTTTAGTCCTGGTTTAGTCCCGGTCCCTCAAGTCTCAGGTCTCTATAGGACAGGACTGGACTGGACGGTGACTCGTGTACCATGTTCACTACAGCCCTGGTGCTGTCTGATGCGTGGCTATTTCTAGTTCAGAGGTGTTTTTGACGAGAGGCTGTTGTTTAATGTTTACAACCAGTGGCAGGACTTATTGTTTTTTAATAAACCTCAACCTTTTATTATTGTCTTGTGTTGTATCGTCTACCACACAGCCTCAACAACTATTGCAGCTAATAATAATAATAATCTTAATATAATAATGATTATAGTAACAACACATAATTAGCCTAATACTGTTACAGAAAAACCTGTTTGATAGCATGTCTGCTGACTCCACCGCGTTAAAATATTTCTCAAATGGCAGTGCCCCCCTGCTGGTGACCCATGCCCCTCCAGTAAATGTGCTCTGACGCCGACTCTGACAATTAAGAATGCGAACATACACGCTGAGCGAATTTTGGAATGAATGAGCTATAGTTTGCGTTTTTATCGAGGCTCCTTAGTTTGTTTGCTGTATGATTGTTCTAAAATCTAAAATCAATCGGCGGATGGCGGGCGGGTGCGGTTTTGAAAACCTTCGGTGCAAAATGGACAGCGGGCGGATGATGAGTTTTGTGTCGCGGTTGCGGATGAAAAAATAGCCCATCCGCGCATCTCTAGCACACACACGCTGATTCATCCCGGGGGTGTATAAAGGGGAGCCGTTTCTGGCTGTCAATCAGTCTGCCACCAGTTACAGAGCAGGTAACGTTGGTGTGCTGTACCAGAATCTTAAAGGGGAAAGTTAATGTTGAACTCTACCCTGCTTCTTTATTGTAAATACTCTTTGGACATTTTTTGCTCACTGTAAATATTTTTGCACTGTTTTTGGGATTCTTGCACTTTGGACACTGGCACAATAAACCACCTGCACTTGGAACTTCGATCTTGCCACACTGTTTATTTGCTAAATTTACTGCCATTAAATCTGAAAATCATCAGTAAAGTGCCAATGGCTGCAGGATCCAGATGGCTGCTTGCTTACATTGAGTTATTTCCACACCCATACCCTACCTGGTTGCTAGTCCAGTGGAAATGTTTGTACTGTGTTTTGACTATGTGCTGATGTCACTAAGATGTTGTTTTTTTGTGTACTCGTACCATACTATGCCCCGATAGGAGCACAGGCTGGGGGTGGTTCTCTTTTTTTCTCCTCCCCTCCTCATCCTCATGTTATGCTGCATTGTTTATTCCTATTTTCTACCTATTTTCTGTCTAGTCATGTTGTCCATGTCCTGTCTCATGTCATATTGCATTGTGTGTTTGTAATGTACGGACAGAGTGACAGTTCCAATTTCGATTCCTTTGTATGTCCAGTACATGTGAAGAAATTGACAATAAAGTCCATTATTCATTCATTCAGTCAAAGAACATTGTTACTAATACATATTTAAGTTAAAACTGGAGAGATAAATGGAAAGTCAAAGTAAAATGCAATATATAATCCCTTACACTAAGTAATCCAAAATGTATTTGGAATTTAGTATAGAATTAATTTAGATTTTAGTATGCCTTAAATGAGGATTTGTTTAAATGTCCATTATAGATATGAATAATTCACTTACATTTTGTATTTTGTCTGAACTCATAGGTGACATGTGGTACTCATCCCAGATTCTGACCCAGTTTTCTACCAGAAAGGACAAGTTTCATAATTAGTACTGTTGAACTTTTTTTTTTTTTTTTTTTTTTTTAAAGTAGAGACAGGCTTTACATTAGTACCACACTTTAACTGTGAGACCTTTTTCTTAATTGTATTTTGTTTCTTGTGTATTTCCAGTGTCTGAGGTGAGGGTGGTGATTCTGGGAAGCGGCCGGGGTCAGAGGAGCTCTGTGGGAAACCTGTTACTGAATGAGTCTGTGTTTGATGCAACAAAAGAACCTGAAAGACCCATCAGACAAACAAGAGAACTTCAAGACAAGAAGATCTCAGTGATCAACTGTCCAGACCTGCTCCAGCCCGACCTCACTGCAGATGCACAGTCAGAGTTAGTCAGAGACACAGCAGACGCCTGTGACCCTGGTCCTCATGTGTTCCTGCTGGTTCTACAGCCTGAAGACTTCACTGAGCAACACAACATCAGACTACAGTCAGTCCTGAGGAGCTTCAGTGAGCAGAGCTTCCAACATTCACTGGTGCTGCTGACAGCAACAAAAAAGACAAGTGTAATGAAGGATTATTTGAATTCTCCCCCTCTGAAAAATCTGATTAAAAAGTGCAAATCCAGATATCAGTTGGTGAAGAGCCTTGAAACACATATGATCTCTGAAGTACATGAAGAACTCTTGACTAAAATAGTCCAAATACTTAAAGAGAACAATGAAAAACATGTTACTCTTGATATATATGAGGATCCTGCTCCAGCAGCTCATCAGACCAAAGAAGGAGAAGGAGACGTTCTTACTGCATTTAAAAAAGGTACCTGCAGTGACTGTTGATTTAGGTTATAAACCTTCATGCGTTTCATTTAAGTAAATATTTTATGTTTTGCAGGATTTAACAACACACTGAGAACGAGTGAAATATATTCTGGTTCTGGTAAGTACATTTACTAAAAAATGTTTCACCTGTCCTTAAGATCATTCGCAGCATAGCAGCTAAGTCATCTTATTATTGTGGACAAAAAAAAAGCACTGACGTCTATGTGAATTAATTATTTTCCCAGACTCCACTCTTAGGATTGTTCTGTTTGGGAAACTTTTGAACAACCAAAGAAAAATGTACTTAATCCTCAATCACAGCTTTGATATGGCAACAGAACAAAGCTCTTCCACCGCTAACATTTGGAGAAAAAGACCAGTGGTAGTGAAGACCCCAAACCTGCTCTGTCAGTCTGTGGAGACTGTGACAGGAGAACTGAAGAAATGTGTGTATCAGTGTTCTCCTGGACCCAACGTTCTGCTGCTGCTGGTGAATCCTTCAGACTTCACCGAGAACAACAGGAAAACTCTGACCTTCATCCTGAGTCTGTTTGGTCCAGGTGCCTTTAAACACTCCATGGTGGTTCTCACACACAAGCGCCAGAAGACCCTCAGTGTTTCAAAGCTCATTAGTGATTGTGGTGGAAGATTCTACAACATGTTTGATGAAAACCACAAACTCCTGACTGATTCTCTCAAGAGCCTTGTAGATCAAAACAAAGCATCATTCCTTACCCTCACTGTGGAGCAGAAACCCTCTCTGAACCTTGTTCTTTTTGGGAAGACTGGAGCAGAGAAGACCTCAGCAGCTGAGTGTATTTTAGGGCGAGCAGAGCTCCCTGCAGCGAGTAGCACAGAGCAGTGTGTTAAACATGAGGGAGAGGTCTGTGGGCGTCGTGTGTCTCTGGTGGAGCTGCCGGCTCTGTCTGGAAAACCTCTGGAGACAGTGATGGAGCAGTGCCTCCACTGCATCTCCCTCTGTGCTCCTGAGGGCGTCCATGTCTTCATCCTGGTTCTACCGGTGGCTCCTCTCACTGATGAAGACAAGACCGAGCTGAAGATCATCCAGGACACACTCAGCTCTCGAGTCCGTCCCTTCACTATGATTCTGTTCATTCATTCAGAGCCCACTGCTCCAGCTGTGCTTCAGTTTGTTGAAGGAGACAGAGACATCCAGGAGCTGTGTCAGAGCTGTGGAGGAGGATATTTTATATTCAACCCCAGAGACCAACAGCAGGTCCCTCAGCTGCTGGATTATTTAAACACACTGAAGACCAAGAACATAACTTACAGCTACACCACAGAGACACTTGTGCAAGCTCAAATAGAGAAGATTTCAGCTCAACACAAACAAATGGAGGACATGAAATATAAAACAAACAGATGTGAGTATGGTTACTAATAATCTTATTTACACCATTAAATAAAATTTTTAGTGCATTTCAAAATTTTGCATTGGATTTTTTTGCACACTCAGTGATAAGTTTTTGTGTGACACCAGATATGTGCTTTCACATCATGTTTTATTGTATGAAATAAATGGTGAAGTCTGATTTCAATAACTTTTTAAGTTGTAATGACACCCTCACACCAATAGGTGGAGCTTAGTGCTA